CTGGCCACCTCGGGCACCAATTCGTGTTGATTCTTCCTCCGGAAAATCCCAAATATTCCAAAAATATTCTCCGTCCGTTTTTATCCAGTTTGGATTCCGTTTGATATGGGTTTCCTGCGAAACATAAAACATGCAACAAACAGGAACTGACACTGGGCACTGGATCAATATGTTAGTCCCAAAAACAGTGTAAAAAGTTGCCAAAAGTATATGAAAGTTGAATAATATTGGCATGGAACAATCAAAAATTATAGATACGACGGAGACGTATCAGCTGCAAGCACGTAAGTTAGTTCCCAAGCCTATGCGTCGGAACTTTGACACAATCTCCATCTTGATTCACTGGAGGATTTGGTAGGAAAGAAATTCTAGAATTTTTGAGCAGGAAGCGAGTAGTCCCTTCAGAGTTTTGGATCGGATAATAGAAGATATTGGGACATGGAGGGCGGCCGTTGTGTTACTGACATCGGCAACCTTTCTTGAGCTGCTGGTTTGCCCCCTTTTAGTTGTTTTGACGGCTGTTGCCGTCCTTTTGTATTTTCGGAACGTCTCAGTTCCGTGGGTTCCCAGTTCTAGTTCGCCTAGACTGCTAACCTTTGTTGTACTGCTTCTCCTTCTTTCTAATAATATTCGGCCTATGGCCCTTCGATAAAAAAGATTACAAGAGGGCTCTCATTCGTTGCCAATGCTATATCTCGCTGACCTAGGATCGCTAAAAGTGGGTTTCTCAAATAAATGGTTTTGGGAAGCTTCTAAACACCGGTTCACGGAACCTTCCTCCTGGTCTTGGCCGGTTTTGGGAATGCTTCGCGCATTTTTTTTCTTCTTCTTCATGCTTTTCTCCATAAGTTTTTCATCATTTTTTTGTTTTCTTAGTTTTGTTTTCCCCCTTTTTCTTGTTTTTGTTTTTTGTTTTTATTTTTCTTCATTTTTAAACAGATGTCAACTTTTTCCATACATATTGAACATTTTTTTGCATAGGTTGAATAGTTTTAAAATACATGTTGAACATTTATCCAAATACGTGTTTGAAAACATTTATAAGTGTATATTGAAATACAAAGTGAAATTTAAATATATTTAAGGTGTTATAATTCTTTTTTAAATTGAGGAAATATTTTTTCCATTTCACAAACACTAAAAAACATGAAACATATATTTCTTGATTTTAAATGGTATGAACTTTTTTTAATATTTTCTTCAACATTTTTTTATAAAATTCCATGAACAAAATTTTAAATGCATGAACATTCTTTTGAATTGTATGGAAAAAATTTAAATTGTGCGGATATTTTTATTGTGCAGTGGAAGTATTTTAAAACCTGTATTTTAATTTATGTTTCAAAATGCAAACACAAGTAAAAAAGAAAAGAAAAAGGGAAAAACAAATGAACGAACTAAACTAAGGTTTGTAACAACTAATGGTCCTGGCCCACTACAACGTCGCTTGAGGTGAGTTATTCATCTATCTCGCTAGAAGCGACGTAGACACTCCTACTCTCATTTGCATTCTTTCTTTCTCATTCCTCTTTTCCGCTAGTTGAGTGTCGCCTGTAATTCCCTGACTCCTCTATCATTCTCCTCTGACGACATTGTCAGATGGAGTCAGGATTGGAGATGAGGTTGGATCGCCGTTGGCTCTTGGTTTAGGTAAGGGTTTACCTTAGTGCCGGTATCTATCATTATGTTGTTTTGGAGTTTCTCACCGGCGCAGATGAGATGTGTTTGGTGGCCACATTTCACTCCCGATCATCTTCCAAGGTGAACGAAAACTAATGGAGGTGGATCTGATGGGAGCTCATAGTGTAAACTTAGTTGTCGGCTAGATCGAGCTAATGCAGTTGCCTCCCTAATTCTTCATCGTCATGGTGACAGAAGGAAAGGCAAAAGCATATCTATGCCCAATTTTCTCATATCTGGCTCAAACTTTTAGTACTCCCTCTGTCCAAAAATACTTGTCATCAAAATGAATAAAAAGAGATGTATCTAAAACTAAAATACGTCTAGATACATCCCCTTTTATTCATTTTGATGCCAAGTATTTCCGGAGGGAGGGAGTATGAGAGTTGGCTAGAATGGTCTTCGTCTATATTTGATCACAACATCCATGTTGCCAGCTGAAGTTGTTGATCCAATCATCGGATGTCTTCGCTCCTCATAAACCCTAGAAAAATGCCCTGGTTTTTTAACTACTGCCTACTTCTTGAATCATAGAAAAATGCCCTAATTTCACATAACTTAGAAAAATTCCTATTCTATCCAAAAGACCTACATTTACTTATTTTTTTCAATTCTATTCAGAAAACCTACATTTACTAAAAAACCTCATATAGCATAATACATTTATGTACCTAAAAATTTCTATTACTAAATTCTTTTACTAAAAAATTCTATACCTAAACTTTTATACAAAGAGAGGTGGGAGGAGGAGGAGAGAGGAGTGAGGGCTTCAGGCAGCTGGGGGGAGGAGAGAGGAGGGCAGTGAGAGGAGGGGGCAGGGCGGTTGGAGGAGGGAGGAGGAGGGAGGAGGAAGGAGAGAGGAAGGCCGCCGGAGGGAGGAGAGAGGAGGG